TGAGCACAAGCATGTGAGGAACTGAAGACCTAGTGGAACTGTGTGGGCTACTGTGTTTTCAGTGCAACCTAAACTTAATGGTTGCTTACATCTGTTTGTGTCTCTCCTGCTCTCTGTGCACACATAAACTATATTTTATTACAGCTAAATTCCTAACAAAGCTGTTCTCAACCACATGCTTTTCTGTTTCTATTGTCACACAATGGAGTGAAGATAAAATAGTGACTGAAATGCAGCCCCTTAGAACTACATGTCACATCAGAGGAGCCATTTCCAAGCTGCTGAACTACTGATTTTATAACCTTAGCATCATCTGACAAACTAACCATACACATGAATTAAAAGCAAGAGGAAGAAAGCCCCAACCTCCCTGTGTCAGCAGTAATGCGGTCAACTGTTTTGCTTCCCGTTATCAACCACAAAGACAGAGAGTTTTCTTCCTTAGAGGGAGTGGACTTTACCATGTTTGCAGTATTTTAAGCTGAAAATTTGAAATACACACTGTGGGGACGTGTGAGACTGTCATTCATTTGCTGAAAAGAGGCAAAATAAGGAACCTCTGAAGTTGCACTTTTTTTGAATAGGCTGTATTAATTTGTTTTTGGTAACTTGGAGGAAGCACACGAAGCTCTAAAGTTAGTACAGTAAACATGTTAGCAGAAACTTACCTGCTCCATAACCAGAGAACAACATTAGAATTAATTTTTTCTTTCCACATGACAGATTTTAAAGAATAGCTAGACATTTGGGGAAACATGCTTATTTTCTCATGAGGAAATCTACTTTCATGTCTTTCCACTTTGAACTATTTTTAGAACTACAGCCAGGTGCACTAAGCTGAGCTTAAAGGCTGGAAGGAGAAGGAAACCACTGGTCTGGTTCTGCCCAGAGTTCAAAAACGACCCTAAACCTTTATGCTAGATTGAAGTCCACGTTTTATTCTGCCTTCTTGCACAGCCTGAACATACAACTTCTCTGTTCACACCGTACTGGTCAATCAACCAGATCGAGCCTCGGGTCAGTTTTATAAAGTGGCAAGTCCCATAAGGTTAATTAAAGGATGATGGCTGTTGACAAAAAGAGGGAAAGGCAGCAATACTTCACGCGACTGGAAAGCTGAAATTGTGCTGCTGGCTATAGTAATGGTTAATTTGAATCTACTGTACAAAAAAAAAAAAAAGAGCAAACCGTGATCGGAAAACGAAAGTATGCATCAAACTCTGAATTTTGTTGTAACCTCGTAGAGAACACGTGACTGTGCATCAAGTGTACAGAAATTTCCCTTCTGTCAGATGTAAGGCAGTCACACTCAATACGCAGTTCTCCACAAATGGAAATTATGACAATGCCAGATGGACAGAGAAATAAAGAGGAATGGATGGAGAATGAAGAGAAAGTCAAGAAGGTTCAATTCCATTAGTAAATTTGCATGCATGGCCTTTCATGTTCAGGACACTCAAGAGAATTCAAATTAAGTAAGTGAAAAGCCTCGCTTTCCACAGCTTGCTGCACACAAAATCCATCATGAATGCAGGCCAGCACCAAGAAATGAAAACGTGATTTCTACAATAATTACTGCCATTTTCAATCTGTCTTCAAAGTCTATACCAATCCAATTCCATCAGCCACTTCACCACAGGACTTCCTAAAGCTTTTCTGCCTTTAATAAGACATGCCAGTTAACTGATTTAACTAAACTGTTCAGAAGCTACCTTGCCCTCATCTTTATCTCTTCCTTGTTTATTCTTTGCCATCTGGCTGTTTACTGCCTTCTACATGCACTACAGCTTCAGCTGCCTCCCTCAAGATTTGTGCCTCGTCTCCACTTACTGCCTCTCCACACAACAGCTGAACAGATTAATTATTCCAAAAGGCAGGGAAAGTAATCAGGTCATTAAAACACTAAAAATATATATGTTTTTTTGCAGTCTATTGAGGGGGTAAAAAGGACATATAGTGCATCCATGGAACACTGAGCCATATGAAGCAACAGTGAGGCGTTTAATAAGATTTTTCTCAGGACCAGATTGAAGGAAAATTGTAAAAGAAGAACTCTAAAAATGATTTGAATATACTTCCATGGCAAAAAATAAATTCCACACCCTGGTGGAATGTGGAAAATTCAACTATCTAATCCAGTGGTTCAAGACAACAAACCAGCAGACTCAGTTTCATCTGCTGCAAAAACCATGGAAATATGCCAAGCTGGTTTACTTACATGACAAGTAGCAACTTTTGTTGAAGGCCTTAAAACATGCATTTAAGTTCGGTTATGCTACACTGCCTGCTTAAAGGGCTACACGCTTTCTTTTCAATCCAATATGAAAAGTCTTTCTGTGTGCTTCCTGCAGTGACATCTCCCTGTTCATTCACCTGCAGGCTCTACTTCAAACTACACACTGTTGTCTTCTGTATTCCCATCACTACAGAACTTATGATCAAGCCTATGGCAGCGGCACGGGGAGCAGCCGAGGAAGGAACAAACTGCGAAACATTCTGGTTGTGGAGCCCTCTGTTCTATGTGATCAAAGACCACTAATTTCAAAAATAATTGTACCTTTCCACCACATGCATGGTGTAGTTTTATGACACAACTAGTTTCCTTCTTTAAGTCAGGAAACCTTTACAGACCTACATGGCTGCACTGATGCAAAAGTATACGATGTTTACAACCTGAGGCTTTTTTTTTTATTGTCAATACAGCTGCAAAAAGTTCCAAAAGAGGGGAAAACACACAAAGCTGAATGTTCAGACGGGTTATAAACACACTGACAGTTTTTCCACATCAACCATTTTTGCATGTGGACTGTGTTGTTACAATGAACTCCTTGTGCATAGGAAAAACAATAGTGTCCGCAGGTACAACAACTGCGGCAGGTCAACGCTGAACCACAGAGACGGGGTTCTCACTGTGGAGAGGTTTTACAACAGTTTGCATTGTAAATCTGCGGTTTGTTTTCGCTTCTAAA